ATAAAATTAATATTTTTATTTACATATTTCCTTAATACATGCAATCATATTTTAAATTTGTATAGTTTTGTTTTGACCAACTCATATAACAGTACTCAGAAGCAATTTTTTAACCATCGTTATAAATTTTCAAACAAGAGAAGAAACAACAGAACGATTCTCTTCTGACTTTGAGGAAAAGCCCATATGCAAACAGTAAAAAGAAGGAATGAAAACAATTTTCAAGGAAAAAAAAAAAAGAAAGAAGAAGGAAAGGGTCATTCTCATTCAGAAGTCAAGTCAGTATTTTACCAAAAAGAAAAAAACAAGTCAAGTCAGTAAACAATTATTTGTTGAGATTAACACCGATACTAGCCAAGTTAGTTAATTATCGCTGTCGTGTCGGCAATTATATTTGGGGTCAAGACAAGTTCCAGGCTTCAAATCCGTTCAGATGCAATACATTGTAGGGTTGACAGTACATTTAATTGGTGTTGATTCTAACAAATAACTCAACCTCATATATCAAACACCGTACTTGATCAATTAATTCCTTAAGGCAAGGTTCATTGTTTCTATGAACTACACTGACAAAGAAAAAAGAGAAAAGAAAACATAACCAAACTAGCTCCAATGCAAATGTCATCCAATCATCATTGGCTTCAACATTTATACAAAAAATAAAAAAACCCATCAACAGTCTCGACTCGACAATAGCAATGGAAGAAGACAGAGGTATGTGGGGATTTCCTTATCAGTAGTGAATATTATTAAAAGTGTGGAGATCTACAATGGAAGGATAAATCGTTCCGCTACATAATAATCCATACCGGATTTATGCCCATTTCTCCAAACCAATTTGTGAGTATACTTAAAAGAGACTGGAAAATGGGTGGGGAACAATTGTTTGGGTCATTAACTAAGTACTTTGAGCTAAAATAATGCACTAAGAATTTTTTTACCAACAGATTGTCCTTCACAACTTGAACTAAAATAACAAAGAAAATTATTAAATTATGAAAACATATTTTGCTAAATTAAATAATTCATTTTCATAGTTGTAGCTTGAATGAAGAAATATACTAATATTAAAGAAACAATTCACTGATCTTACAGTGAACTCTTGAGCGCTATGATCAATAAATGTTGGCACTGCATCTTTCCCCTTCAGCCAGTGCATCCTTTTAGCTCAAATGATATCAAAGGACCCAAAAAGCCTGCCAATAAACATCCTTGTGCTCAAAGGAAACCAATCCCCATCTCATGTATGCATCATGACTGTGCTCTTTCAACACCCACTTTAGTATTTTAGCACTCTCATCACGTCCACATATAAGTGACATGTCAACAACCAATCCCCATCTCATGTATGCATCATGAATGTGCTCTTTCAACACCCACTTTAATATTATAGCACTCTCATAACATCCACATAAAGTGACATGTCAGCAACTTACGGATCAAAAAATTTCTTAACATCTCCCCTAACCTCCTCAAAAATTCGGTCCTCACTGCCTAGTTCATTCATATTATATTATATATCATGCAAATTCACTACATTCATAATCACCTCTCTAATTTGATCATTACCTAATTCTTCAATGAAAATATTGGGAGCTACACTAGAGGATTCACCCCATTGATGACAGTCACTTTCTCACTTGTTGCCTATCATGTGCAAGCCATAGTACATACCCATTCATAAAATCTTTTTCTATTAAATGATATTGCATAGTTACATGACGATGCCACTCCATGTTCATACATTTCCTACATGGACATCTAATGCGATTTTTGCAACAAAACTCTGAATTGGCCTGTGAGAATTGCATAATCCAAAAAGAATTCCACACCATCTCTGAATTCAACAATGAAGAATCCCTTATCGTCCAAACAACGATACATCTAACTTCAATCTTTCAACATATTAAATATTATCTCAACTATACCAAACATATTTTCAAATAATTAATATAATTATGTTAGTTATTAAAAAAATAAAAAACATTCTTTATTACCCATTCAAATTTTACTATTAAAATTAAATAGTAAATTAACATTCTTCATTACCAAACATATTTAATAGAATATTAATTCAATAATTTATTAATAATTATTCAAAATTTAAACAAACAACTAATACTGTACATACTAAAAAAATCTGAAACTGGCCAACAATTACGTACTAAATAAAATACTCCCAAATCATGCATTAATAATACCAGATAAGAGAAGCTATAAACAATAAAAAAATTAATAATATAAATTTTTATAAATAAAATTAAATAGAAAATCAAAGAAAAAATTTATAAAAATTACTTCTGAAAATGGGATTTGCAATTTGAGTCCCTCAAAAGTCAAAAGGATACTTTGAAAGTGATGGACCTACAAGAAAATACAAAAGAAATCGTCAACGAATTAAAAAATTAAAAATCATAAAATTAAAAATCCATACAAAAAAGAATGAAAAATTGTGAATAACATTATTTAAATAAAGAATAATAAAGATTCATAATACAATCTCAAAAATAATTATGCTTACAAATAAATAAAAATTATATAATTAAAAAAATGAAATTATGTAGAAAAATCAACAATACTCACTAATCAGTTAAATAAAATGGTAGATCGGGGCACAAAGAGGCTAGTTACAATTAGTGGTGACGGTAATGGTGGTGGTAACGGCAAGGCTTCACAAAATGAGCAAAAAACAGTGAGGAAAAAGATAGAAAAAAGAAAAAGAAAAGAAAAGAGAAGCAGATCCTTGTCTATACCTGCACCAGCGTCGAATGGGCAAAGGAAGAAACAAAAAAATCACCCCTCAATCGACTGAGGCTTCCACCAGCAGTGGTTGGCCTGGGCACAGTCGAAAAACACAAAAAATGGAGCACAGGAAGAAGGAGAAGAGATCTAAACTGAAGGAAAGAGGCCCAATTCGATCAAGAAATTTGACCCAAAAAACACGCACATGGGCCCCACCGCCTAGGTCATTCTAATCATAAACAGAGTTTTGCAGCTCAAACCAATTCGGTCAAGGCTATTGACCAAAATAAGACTTATACAAAACGACAAATTATTTTAGTCAAGATTATTAGTTGCAAAAAGTTTTCAAAAAATATTTTATAATAAACTCATCATGCCTACTTTTTTTTTTTGGGTTAAATTAATTGACTAAAATAATAAATTTTTTAATTATTTATTATTTAAAAAAATATTTAATCGAGAATCAGGTTTGAAACCAACTTCCACGTTAATAATTCGGTGAAATTTGTTGACCCAGTAAAATTTAAACCGCACTCAGCGGCCTTAAAAGACTTTAATCAGACAACAAGTGATTTTAGTCA